ACGCGCTCACTTCAAGCAGAGTTGCTTGAAATTTCAAGCAAAAAGCGCCTGATTGAAAGTTCAAGCAACGCTGCTTGAAATTCAAGCAGAATAGTTTGCTGTGATAGACGTCATTGTAAGTGATTATAGGGTCGCGTACTTTTGCTTATTCGAGTTGTATATTGACCCCTCGGGAAAATTCTGTCATATTTTCCTTTCATTGAATCAACGCAACCGTTATCTGGATGCGGTCTGATACTTTTCTTGACGTGGGCAACCCTAACGGAACCGATGCACGGTTTCACCGGGTACGGTCAGTCCGTACTCAGCGTCGTTCAATATACGGGAGCCACCGGATTTAAATTACCGGGTCTAACCGTCATTCTGCCGTTATTATTTTTTGCAGTGTACCGAGTTATTCAGAGAAGACGGAGGTGCGGGCGGGTTTGCCTACACGCTCTGCCCGTAAAGCGCCATAGCCCCTTGGGTAGGCAAACCCGCTCGCACCTGCGTGTTCTCTGAATCAGCCGGTACGGGTCTCCGCGCCTGTGCGCTGAATGCGAACGGCCGCAAACTCTCGGAACAGTTTTCGAGCATTCACAGCAGATAGGTGAGTTGAAAAAACATTCTCCACGAAACGATTTTCTTCAAAAAAGGAGATGTATTAGTTCCATTCGCAAATAACTCAACTCAAAGGAACTAAATTCAGATAGTACATGCATACATGTCTTTTAAAACACAATAAGATTATGTTCATGAACATAATTAAAAAACAGCATCCTAGCCAAGAGCACTCATTTAAAAATCATGTCGAAGACTTAAAAGCCGACGCGCATTAAGCGAGAATTTTAAAAAAATACAATTAGTAAAAGGGTCATAGGACATTGAAATACAATTACAATGAATTTTAAAAAAAATTTAAAAAGGGGACTAGGAGATGCGAATCCGCTTCGAAGCAGGTGCTGCGGGTGCTCCTGCGCTAGCAGCCTCTAAGGCCACCTCGATCACAAGGAGCGGTGCGGCGGAGATCATGAGGACCTTGAGGTTGGACCGCGATGTCGGTGGCGGCGCGCGGCGCTCTCCGGCCACGACCTTGGCCACGGCCAGTGTGGCGTCCTCGTTGCCGGCCTCCTCTTTGTCCCTCGTGCCATCGCCCTTGACCTCGGCCGGGGCCACGGCCTCCACCGTCTCGGCGCCCTCCGGCAGGGGCTCGGTGCCGCCGCCCCGGAGATTGAGCACGACCCGGAGCTGAGACTGGCTGGTGATGCCGTAGTCCGTCAGCAGGGCGTGATCCTCAAGGGCCTCGCCGGCAAAGAGCACGCGCTGGAGGTGAGGTGGGAAGCCCTCCTCCGCCTGGATCTGCCTCTTAAGGTCTTCGACGCGGGCCGACCGCGGCACCAGCAGTTTCAACTCCGTGTTCGAGAGCGTCTGGACGCGGAGGCGCATTTTCGATCGGTCCTGACGTGTGCTGACGATGAGGTGCACCTGAAAAAACCAAAAGTGATTGTGTGAGGGTTTTCCCAATCATCTCACTGTCTTCATCCCCCATCCCCCCTGGGTGTTGTAAAATGAAAGTTTAAGCCCAACTTGGGTACATGGTTTCATACCTCGGATTTGGACGCGGAACGTGGTTCGTTTGCAAGGTCAGCAAATTATCTTTCATACCAGCCACGTTCGGCCCTAGTCAGAGATTGGGAACCATACGTCGCGCCAGAACTTTCGTTAATCAAAGAATGACGCGTTTTTGTGCACATCTCAACTGAATGCAGATTTGAATCCAGCAAGTGACAAGTGACGGACGAATAAGTATCCTCTTTCTGGACAATTATTTCTCTGTCCATCATGGAGATGCAAATTCCCTACTTGCTGGATTCCAATCTGCATCCGGTTGAGATGTGCACAAAAACGCGTCTTTCTATGGACCATAAAAGTCCTTTCATATTTAGTGTGAATATGACAAGTATATATTCCAATATATAAAAGAAAAATCCAATCAAGAATCGATCTTGAAAGCAGATTATACCAATTTAAGAGTAGCTTCGTTCTACCTCTCTCCCATATTAAAAATAATTTGTAAGGTTTAAGAAAAACATTACAGACAATACTGTAAAAAGAATTATGACCGCGTTGTATCGCTCATCATCAGAACATTCGTTTACGGCTTGTTGACAATCCGGCGTCCACCCTGTGTTTAGTTTAAAAGTGGGGCCTCCAGCGCCGTCGGAAATCGTGCCTCGCCTCACTGGGTATCCCCCCCTAACACAATATATTGGATAGCTGGCCTTTCTCTCCCTTCTCTGTCCCAAGAGTTCAGGGGTAGGGGGGGGGGGGAAAGTAAGATTTGGCATTATTTCGTACTTTTTCAGCCCCGTACACTGTCTGAACGGTTGATCTGACCCCTAAATGTAACTGGCCATTCACTTCACTTTGATACCGTAGGTCTCCATAGGGATTCCCCACACCTTTTTACCTCTAAGACAACTTGAGATTCAGTTCTACCAACATTTTTCTCCTTGAGACAACTATTCTAGTATTTGTCGGCATTTGGGTCAAAAATCTTGCGCGCACGGTTTCTCAGCCAATATTGATTT